TAACTATAAATACTGACAAACACTTTTAGGATCTTGGTTTTAGAAGAAGCTTCACGATTTCCGAGCTTATAGCGATAAAGTAAACTATGTTTTCGAGGGGGCCAAATTTCCGAAGGGGGGGCCAAATTTCCTAGGAAATATGGCCCGGGGGGGCCAAATTTCCTAGGAAATTTGGCCCGGGGGGGGCAAATTTTCGGGGGGGCCAAATTTCCTGTGACACCGGGGCTGCATCGATGGTACTTACAGTACAACTTAATTTTAAAACATGTGTTGTGATAAATTGACTCAAATTTGCCTGAATTTTCTTTCTTTTGTCTTCGGTGGCAGAGAAATTTTGAGATTATGAAATTGATCATGAAAGGACATTTGAAGACGTGGTTGTGGAAGCACTGGCGACAACTGACCAATGCCACAGCCAATGCAACTGACAAGTTTGTTTATCAGACAACGCAAATGTCAACATGCTATGAAACGTCGCATTGAATATTTGAATTTGTTGCAAATTAGATGGACATCATGGACTTTGAACAGTTTATACAGCCAGCCTGCATTTGAATACAGTTATGCTGTTATGTACTCTGGAGGATCCTGTTTTTTGTGTGGATTCAAATTTGGAAGATGGATAAAACTACAGTTGTAATAAAACGGCTATAAACGTGGAGATGATGAAGCGAGACTTTCTACAGTGTCACATTATATCTTGACACAATGACACTTGACTTCAACACATTTTGCAGTATTAGCCACTGTTCCGAGCTATTTGATGTGCGATTGTTTTACGATTTGTAGCGGATAATTATGAATGTAAATTGCCGTAACTAGCGTGCGCAGGTATGTAAAATCCTCACATTTCAAATTTGTTTTATTTTGTCCCAGTGATGATAGCCATGGATGTTTTTACGGAAACTAGTGCTGTTATTCGTAATTATTAAGCGTGTATAACTCTTGATAAGTAGAGTTGTGCCAGTATGGAGAAAATATATATTTAGAAATGCTACTTTTTCGCCCGGTCGATTAGCCGCGTATTTATAGTCGGCACTATCTCCAAGTTGTTTTAAGACATCCAAAGTTTGAGTTCATAAATGCTGAGCTAGTGTAATAAACTGCAGGCCTGCAGAGTATATCTCGGATTGAATCATTTTTGAGAGCGCGAGAACGTGACAAAGATGACTAATTTTTGTGTGTTGCAGCGATGCTAATTTCGTGCTTCGACGTACACACGTAAAATTGCCCAAATATCGAAATCTTTTGAAATTTGAAACAAACCCCTTTTGTATTGATGGTAAGCAAGGGTTTCTTAATCCACACACAAAGTTTAAGGCTAGGTTTATTTTTGAACCAGTATCGAGTGGTCGGAAATTACAGAGACGGACTCTTAACTATGTAAATTTGTAATTATGTGTGAAACAACGGTTACTAGGTGAGGCACTTCTACACAATTTTAATATGCAGTAGACGAAGAAAATTTTAAAAGGCGAAGCAAACAGTCGAAAATTTCCTTTGAAGACAAGCGCGTTACCCCAAAGTTTAAAATTAGATGTTTTCGTATAAGATTACACTACGAGCCATGCGTTGACGGCGAAAGATGACAATAAATATAAAGTTATTAACACAGACTGTACACAATGAAAAGATATGCCCATTTAGTAAATTCATTACTGGTCAAACTCGCCGTTCATATACCTCAGGACCGTAGGAAGCTCTTTTAGATTGGGGGGCGGGGCTGAAAGCAAGGGCCGAAGGCCCGAGGAAATTTTTAAATTTAGAGTCTCTGAAATGCCATTTCCTGGACTTTGGGGACGATTTGACAGAATTCTGATAGTCAGAAAACAGCGTTTTAGTATGTCAAAATTTACAGTTTAGTAGTACTAAATGGGCGAAGGCGTATTGAATTAACTATATATTGAATAAGTTGCAGGAAAGTATGGGTAATACCTTCTTTCTTTGCAGTTTGTCACGGATTAAATGATAAAGGTCTGCATGATCGATTTTGGAAAAAGAATGATTATTAGCAAACTATTGGAGGGGGGGGGGGATGCAGCCCCCCCCCCCGGTTGCTACGGCCCTGTACCTTAATTCTGCCGGTCTTTCGCAGACCAGTATGTCACTCTGGCGTTGTATAGGTTTAAATTAGATTCCGGACCATGTATATTATAATTCTGACAACATCAAAATGATAACTTCTTCATCGACGAAACGTAATGCTAACTCATGATTCGAGCGAGAAACGAGGATGTTTCGCGCTCGCAGATCGCACAATGACTGACCTATATTAATTGACTTACTTAAATACGCCAGGATACGCTGAGAATAGCTGGATTTCTCGGTTTAGGGCATTGAAATGAATAGAACTGGAACGCTACCTTCAACCGGAAATTTGAAGCCAAAATTGAAGGTCAGTCCCAGTCTTTTCACGCATGCGAAGAGCGCTCGATCAGTCAATGATGATATAAACACGTGTGATTTTACCTCCAGACACGCGTGTCTGCAGGTATAAGATTTGGCTTTAAGACAGATAAACAGTTTATCTAAAGGCTTCAACTGGAACGCTTCCATGAGTTATATCAACTCATAGATCAACTGGAACGCTTCCAGTTATATCAATTTCCATGGTTTAGGGTACATTTTTGTGTTCGGATTTTATAAAGAACGCTATAGTGACTGCACTTTTTATTTTTTCAAAGATAACAAAATTTAAAAATTTTGTGTGGAAGACCACCTAACTTGGATGCAAGCGTATCCAAATTCTCGTAGTCGTACTTGTAGTAAAGTCTATGAAGCTCTCTATTAGTTAAACTCCAACATCTAAATCATGAAAACGAAGGTTTATACAACCAAGGCGACGCACTTTCCAGACTAGCCTGCTCACAGACGTTGTAGTTCTTACGCCAAGCGACGAAATACGCTTGGCGTAAGAACGACGTCTGTGAGCAGGCTATTTCCAGACGGGTATATTCAGCTTAGTTCTCAGTTGCAAGTGAGGTTGATTAGCACACTCCCACATACTTAAGCCTCTTTTCCACTCATCGCCAGGGCCGTCGAGAGGTTGGCGGGGGCCCGGGGCAAATTTTTTTTGGGGGCCCCCCTATCAAAAATAATTCCCCCCCATCGCCAAAAAATTTTCGGTCAGTGTACCATTTTAGGGGTAAAAAATTTTTCCGGAGTAAAAAAAATTTCCAGACGAGTACGTTGCAATTGCTTTCCATGGACTTTATCTCATTTTTTATGCCAAATTTCGGTACTTAGCCCAAGAAAACAGATATCTTGTCCTTTGCGCGGAAATATTTAACACACAAAAAAGACTGGAGCCCAACAAAAAATTTTCAGGAGCCCCCAGCACCTAGGGATGCGATGAATGGAAAAGAGCCTTTACATTTCTAACCAAACATGTTGAGTTGAGCTCACTTATGCATGTTCATGTAATTTCATTAATACCACTATTTTTTCGATTGTATAACAGCGACAAATTTTGCTATATTTAGTAAATCATTATTCAAAAAAGTTGCCTAAAACAAGTTTTCATTCAATTTCTTCTGGACGTTGTGTTCAGCATCGAGTCTCGTACAGTCCACTTCGCGAAATATATCTCACCCACTTAATGACGTCATGGTCACTGTAGTTCAGCTTGTGTTCGAATACTTTGAGATAACGCACTTTGAGACCAGAGCACGCAAATGGAACCTGGATGGAAAATAGAATAGATGTAATTTACTAAGACCCCGTTTACACAGTACCGGACGAATTTGGGACCGGTCTGAAATTCGTCCTTTTTCGCCTGTTTACACGCGAATTCGTCCTGTTAGGAGGTCTCAAATTCGTCCGGTTCCGTGCTTTTCGCGTGTTTACACGGCCGAATTTTAGTCCGGTTCCAAATTCGTCCGGTACCGTGTAAACGGGGTCTAAGAACCGACATCGAACCGGATATATGTTCTATATAAACTAGTAAACTGCACAGTTAGTGGTATCCTTTGTTTATCCAATGTTACTCAATACTTTTACTAGAGAAATTTAAATTAGATCAGAGAGATACTCTACGATACGACTACCTGAAAAATACAAGCAGAAAATTCCCCCAGAAATTATTTGCACCCCCCCCCCCGAGGCATTTGGCACCGCCCACAAAAGTTTTTGCATCCCCGCAAATTATATATATTTTGATAGTTTCATATTTGATTATTCTTACTACTAAATTTGTAAAATTACCAATATTATGGTCTCAGATCTCGCCATGCAGGCCTAGAAAACAAATTTTGTTAAACTTTTTCCTTGGCCTTTCCGGGCGTTGCAACCACGCCCCGGCCAAAGCAAGCAGCAGCACCCCAAGATATTTATCCACACACCCCGAACGAAAATATGAAAATCTCTTCGGGGAAATGGCTTACGTGGACATTGCCTCTAGGCGTTGAAAACAAACGAGACGTCGAGTCGCATTTCAATAGCAGTCGTGGCTTACCTCAAAGTTTAGTGATATAGGTGGTCGCGCCCATTTCTTTCCTTCTTTAGCAGGCATCAACTCAATCTCTGCACTAATCTGAGATTCCTTCATTCCTGCCATACGCTTGATCCTAAACAAAAATCGTTATTCATTCACTTCAAAGGAAAAACCATCTAAATAGTTACTTTAGTAGTTGTCTGAAATTCTTGCCGTACGCCAAGCTAATTTCGGCGTACAATCGTACGTCCGTACGCCTAAATAATTTTTCAACAATGAAAAATTGGTAGGCTATAAATAAAGATAAGTATTACATGAAATTTAAGGAAAAAAACTTATTAAATAAAGAACTAAGGTTTGCAGCAATAAAAAGTGGTCTTATGTTGGCAACCAAAATTCGCCTTATCTCAATCCCGAAAGGGTCTATATTTCCCTTAAGTATACTTCCCGGAAGGGTCTATTTCATGTAATAATTCGACTCTATTTATTACTAACTCATAATGACTTTTTGAAATAAGGCCGAAACATCACCTTGGATTTTCCATCTTGTTTTTAACAACTATACTATAATCATGATTAGTATAATTACATAGGTGATTATTGAAAATTCTCCACGCTGATTGGTTGCCGTTGAGGTGATTATTACGCGATAATCACCTAAGCGATTTTCAAAATGGCGGTCGAAGCCATTTTGTCAATTAAATGACGAAGAAATGTGCATTTTAAAATTTGTTTCCAAATAATCACCTATGAAATTATACTAAAACAATTATTCACCTCAGGCTCGGTGATTATCGTGAATAAAAACCTCGACTTCGTCTCGGTTTTTATTCACCGATAATCACCTCGCCTTCGGCGAATAATTGTTAAATATTTCGAGTTTTCAAAATATGATTTGGAATGTTTTCCTTGTGTCTCACTCAATAGTGCTAATCCAATTTAGAATCTTTCGTTTTTTATATACTGCATCCATGTATACATATAATGAACATACTTCCATACGATGGCGTTCTCACTGGATTTAAACTTCGCTTTTCCTTTCATACATACAACTTGTACTCCAGCTGTCGTGGGTGGTGTTGGAATACGGATCTAAAGAATTAAAACACACTAAATGAGAACTCTGCTATTGTGTTAATTGCTATACCACTTCAGCAATCGTACCGTAAACAACTATACAAAAAGCTGTACCGTTTACGTCCGAAGATCGAACACGATTCGCTTTTTAACATTCTCATAGTTTTGTACATGGAGTGAAAAGACAGTTATCGGAATCACTAAAGTATTCGCTTATTTCTCTATATGTAATGAAACATTTAGCATCCTTTGTTAGCTCCCATATATAAATGTTAACACATTCCAGTCGATCTCCATGTGTAGCACCAAATCTACTCCCAATGATTTCTGAAAGCCTTTAATTGAATGGTGGCTGAATAACTGTGTATAGCTATAACTAGCTATAAATTAAGCAATATATTGCCAGGAATATATTGGGGAAGGGCTTATATTGGAGGGCTTATATTTTCAGATGATAACGTTATAAATATCAGTACAAACCTCAATCTTCTGTCCTAAGACGGAAGGTTTAAAGTTAGATTTCAGGACAACCTTGACTTCCATTCTGGTTTTGCCAACCTCACGAACCAAAGGAATGACACGGAATGGCAGGCTAATATCTTTTGTTGTACGGTATCTACGAGAGAATGTGGGCTAATCGTAAGTAAGTGGGGCAGTGGTAATCATTTTTGTGTACTTGCAGATCAGAGTTAGCTATAAGCTGACAGTTACGACTCATGTCCGACCACGAAGCACAACTACTGTACGACGGAAGGGTCAGGGAGGGGCTAATCCAATTTATCCAATCCACTTTTATCAACATTTCGTGTGGGAAGAAACCGAAGTACTCGGAAAAAATACACACGACTTTCGGCACAGCGTTGTCCGACTCCTTTTACGTTAGTGCCGCTGCGTGAATCGAACCCACGATCTCAGAGGTGGAAGGCGCTTGCTCGAATATAAAAGACCTATAACTACAGTGAAGATCACAAAAAAACCCCAACATAATGGGTTCTAAAGCCAATGTCTCAAATGCGAGGAACGAGGTTCTACAGTATAGCAACAGCGAAGTGCTTTCTGAAAGGGTGTATTAATTCATTTACTTAAACCAGGGTACAGCAGTAAAATATCTCCACATATGGTATCTTCGGTGGCGCAATTGTCTACTAATATAACTAATAACTGCATGTGTAATTTCGTAAATGTGTCACCTGTAACAAGATAAAAGGTTCTAAATCTAAAATCTCAATCACGAAAACAGAGTTCTATAGCAAGACTGTGCACTTTCTGGAAGGCTGAATTCACGACGCAATGTTTCAATACTCCGCGTCTTCATCAGGGGTGATCTAAGGTCCTTTTGAAACGAGTAGTTCAAAAAAAAGAAATAAACATGGTACCTCATTAATTCGAATTCACCATCTGGAGGAACAAAACTGATACTCCTTTCCGTTTCAAATTTGCTAAGTTTGACACACTGAAAAATAAGATAGCATTGTCACAATGAACAAAAACTACCCAATAAAAACAAAGGAAAATATATGCTGTACGCATTTCCACTCAGTATAACAAAACTTAAGCAATGCTTTGACCGGCACGGGGACTGGATGGAAAGTCAGTCTTAAATTTTGCACTTTGGGCAACAACAGGAGAATTATGAACTACCATTGATAAGCAAAGGAAGACCGAAAAGAAACAAATTAAAACTGCCTTCGAGACGATGGCTAAGTGTTTTTTTCATTGCGCCCACGTAAATAAGCATGCCAATAATAAAACCCGTTGCGTTTGGTAGATCCAAACAGGAAGTACTCCTCTGTGGAACTCATTAGAATAACAATAAAACAAATTACAGTATAACTCATTATCTAAGTTGGTCAACATTTATTCATAAATCTGGTCCTTTACAGTCACGTAAGTATTGTACCTTTGCCAAATCCACCAATAGCAATTTCCAATTTAGGAAAGTTACCTATCACGGATAGGTAACTTTCCTAAAACGGTGAAGGACCAGATTCATGAATAAACGTTGACTGACATAGACGATAACTTATATGGTTATTCTCGAACCTGGGTAGCAGAGGTAAAAGGCACATAGACTGATCACTGTGACATCAAGACCGATAAGAGAAAACAACGATACATCGAAAATGATAGCAAGTCCCCCTATATATGGTGACAAAATTCGTATCACTGACCTGATGGAATGTGCAGTCATCGATTGCAATACCACTTTTACTTGTGTTCCTAGCAAAGTATTGGCAAAAGGAAAATTGTTAGCATTGGCTTGGAACAGTCTGCAAGATATCAACCGGTAAAATTGGCTATTTCCCGAGCAAAATGTGGCTGCCTACCGACTGTTCTACATGGACATTTTCACCTATTATTTTGCCTCATTAATTTTTCATCATTCTCACCAAACCATCAAGCAATCTCGTCACTAATCTGTTACAGTACATGCAAAGGAAGATTTTTTTGAAAACAATGCGTTAAAACTAGCGAATTAAATTTTCTCAAAATCAGTATCGCGCCGTTCGTTTTGCAACGCTCTAACCAACTGAGCTACGGAGTCCAGTTGTCGAGCTAGTAAAATCTAAACCTCTCTGCAACAGTAAAGTTTTATCAAAGGCCCTGTCTAGAGCACATTATGAGAACTTACTTTTTAGAGGTAGCATCAGCAGCTGCAGCAGATTCTGGTGTCGATGACTTTGCCTGTTTCTCCAACAACAGTTTATCATTCATTCCAAATTTACATTCTGGCATCCCAGATAGATAACTCTTCATCACTACCTTACCACTCACATGTGCACTCAATGTTTGACCTGATAGATGTACAGTATATAATATTTAGAGACAAACCGATAACCGATACAGCTATTGTACAACATAAATAATGTTATGAAATGATGTGTACTGTATTAGCTGTTACATGTAAACTGCCCACTCAATGAGTGTCATTTTGTGTGATTGACCGATTGTGTCACAATTGGAAATTACGGATTACCGATTATTCATGCAACAATCTAACCGATACCGATTTTATAATGACGTCATAATGTCAGTCGACCGAGTAAAGGTGATGTCATTCAAAGCTCGTTAAAACCGCTCATATAAATGGTATACGCTTCACGCATTAATTTAACATACTGCGTTAAAATACAACGTGCATGTAACAACGCGCAATGTACATCATTTTTAAAGTGCGTATTTTCTCAGCAAACGGTTTCACACAATCGAAAAATGCTGATAATAGACCTTATGCATAATGACGTCACAAGGCTTGATGCTCGCGAGGAATGCTGGTCTTAGTAGTTATCACCAGGGAAAATTAAACATTTCAAAATGGCCACTATAGAAATTTTCCCGGGCGATGACTACTAAGACCAGCATTCTTTGCGGGCATCAATCCTAGTGACGTCATTATGCATAAGGTCTATTCTACCGATTCCGATTGTCTACCGATAAGGAAAAAATCGGTCCGATACCGATTATCGGGTCAATCACTAGTGTCATTTTGTCAAATTCCGAAGGCCTGAGGCATTGTATACGCTATCCCATTCTAAAATGAGTTTATTTATACTGTATAACTCTATCAGTTCCACTGTAAACTGTTGTCCTCAGACTTCATGAAGCAACGTTCATCCTGGATTGGTGTAATATTATTACAGGAGGAAACATAAACCAAACAATTATACTACTGTATTTTCCTTCTGCATGTTTAAACATTCATGTGGCAATTTTTTTCAATGTCCTGTATTTGCAATGAAAAGTGTTCAAAACCTACCTATTTAGGTAGTCCAACTCCAAGAACCAAAAAAGTGGTACGGGTACTAATTTTATCCGTGCCGTACCAAAAATTGAGCGTAGTGTAAACGGGGCTATACTTTGTTTTAGCTTTATTCTGTAGTTTACACAATTACAATGGCAACCCTTTTAAATGCATCTGGTGGTTGAGGAACACAATATAATAGTTCAATATTGTCGATTTAAATACAATTATCATTGATGCTGTAAAATTGACGTCATGCATATTTATACAGCAATATACTGTACCTGTATATGGGCGCTTTTCATTAACACGGCGAGACCGGTCAGAACGGTCACATTGTGGAATGGAACACAATAAATTTGGACTTCGGGCCGCTTTAATCCGAAAATTTGGATCAATTTTGACGGAGATCCATTTCGCCGGATTTTCGAGAGGCCTGAACCAGATCTTTCCATTAATACAGAGAGAGAAATTCTGGTCTGACCGGTCTGGCCATTAAATGGAAAGCGCCCATATGTAAGCAAAACTTACTGAACTTCAGACATCATTTTCTCTTTGGCCTACCATCTAAAATCTCTTCATTTTAGTACTGTAGTATTAAGTTTGTTCGCCGATTGAGAAACGTATCGAAAATTTGGTATTTGGATGTAGTCAAGCGCAAGTGCAGGTATATTATGCTACTTAGTTTTGAGCGCGTGTTACATAACATCCAAAAAAACTCCTCTTAAACGGTTTCGCTAGAGGTCCAAGTAGAGAGCATACCTTACATGCAGGTATTGCATGGTACAATCTTACTACAAGAGAAAACAGAAGTACCAGGAGAAAGCCTGTGGTGTTCTGTACAGTCGAACCAGAAACATTCTTCTCACATGTAACTGACCCATATTCATAATCAGACGACTGCATAATCGAATATCGGAGCAGAAGTGAAACGTACAAGCATTAATCACTGTGCTACAGCGAAACCGTTAAATACACTATAAAGTTAATTTCTGCAAATTTATTGGCATGTACTGTAGGTCATTTTGTAAACTTTTTATAACTTTCGAAAAAGCTCAATGCTGGCACTTTCAACTAAAGTTTCTTTCAACAAGTGTCTACCAAGCATGTGTATTAAGAATAAGCCTGTGTATACCACTTTCAATGAATATGATCAAAGCACAAAGCTTCAATAGCTTAAAGCGGATCACACATATCTAACACTGTACCTTGCGGGGACATCAATAAGTTAACAGACTCCAGTACATCTAAGAATAATTCGTTACGACGATATTTAATGCCTTCTCGTCTCCAACCAATCTGGCCTGTTACTTGACTTGTGATCTGAGCCTGTTCCTCTCGACTTTGTGTCTTTATACCCTGCTGCGTGATGAATGTTTTTAAGATGGACGTATCGGTTTTCTGTGGGTATCCATAGTCACAAATTTCTAAAATGAAAAAATTAATTACGATTTGTTGATCATTCAGGAGAACACTAACATTATTTATTGCTAGCGACCAGTGGGTATGTCTATAAGATTTAAACTGTTCTGCCTTAGAAATCTGGGGCCATTTGTACGAAGACTGGATAGCCAGGGGCGCCGGAAGCAATGTGAAGCGGCGGGGGCAGCCATTTCAAAAGGGCACTTGCTTCTCAGCCATATAATTTTTCTGGGCAGCAATATTTGTTAAAATTTTACTGTATGGACACTCGATTACTTCTGGCTATTATGGGTCGCAAACTTCGACATTAATTTGAACACTTTTATTCGTTGCACCGTACTAAAGGCGCAAATTAAATAAAATCAGTAAACGGGCGTATATTGCTTGATTTAGCATTAATTTTACTACAACTGGTTAAAAATTAAGCAAAGATTGCTTAAAGATGCTGTACAGTCCGATCTGCGAATGAGCACAAAATCAAAGGAGCCCAATTTTTATTATACAAACAGTTTATTTAGGTTTTTATTTCATTTTATGTTCTTGCAAAGCTTGATTGTTGCGTCTTGATCATTTATTATACTCTAGAATCATGAAAATATAAATAGTTGTCGAATAAAATTCTATATTTTGGATACCGAAATGTAAACAAAGCCTTTGTTTACATATGGTCTGTACCGCATCTTTAAACATTGTTTAAAAATAGTTCTGAATTCCAATTTCTGTGAATAATGCACAAATTTCGAGGCGCAGTTCTGGCAAAAAGGGCAACCTGTTGCCCCCGCAATGTTTGGGCAACGGGGGCAGTTGCCCCCGCTGCCCCCGTGGCTCCGGCGCCTCTGTGGATAGCGCTATCTACCGGACGAATGGTGATTTTTTTAACCATTGTAAAATTGTGTCAAAATCTACAGTATACTGTAAAACTACGGATATGAACAGCCAAATTAATAAAAAGAAACTCGAATTTATAAATACTAAACAGGGACTGAAACTTGCAGTATCCTGTGGAATCCACAGGATACTAAAATTTCGGTTTGGATACCAAACTGTGAATGACGTCAAAAATTTCAAACATTAGGAAAACGCTAAGTGTCTCTGGTGGTCTCCCAATACAGTAGCTTTGAATACTATAAGCCTGCTTTCTTGAAAATAACCAGCCTTTGACTTTCAACTTGGGGGTCTAGCTGTTGACTGGCGAGTCTCCTGTTGTTATTGTGGTTTATAACAATGAGAGACATGTACTGTATACAAGTTTAGTTTGGTAGTTCAGGGATGCCGAAATTTATGGTAACCAGGGGAGCTTTCCATTAACACAGCCAGACCGGTCAGAACGGTCAAATTGTTGAATGGAACACAAAACGTTTGGGCTTCTGACCTATCTGACCAGAAAATTTAGATAGAATTAGAATGAGGTCCAAATTCGCTAGATATTTGGGAAACATAGACCAAATCGTTCCATTGATACAGAGAAAAGTATTCGGGTCTGACCGGTCAGGCCATTAAATGGAAAGCGCCCCAGTATCCAAAAGTAGTATATTCGATTCTCAGTAGGGTTACTTTGAATGCTGGTATCCCAGCGGGGTACTGAAAAAAATTTAAATTTCAGATCCTGCTAAATACTTACATAATACCAATAAACAGACAAGTTTAGTATACTTGAAAAAATCACTTTCTAGTGGATAGCTTTATCCGGCCTACATAAAGAACTGCCAGGCTGAGACGAAACATCGTTAACTTAGAAGACCGGGTTTGGAAGGCAGGCAAACTTCAGAGCAACATGTGATCAAATGGGATATCATGTTACAAACTACGTCACGTGACAGCTTATAGTGCATTCGAGCTGCAATTCATAGAAAATAGGGGGTAGCAAATCTTCGAGTTAAGGTTACAGGATACCCTAGACATGCCTTTCGGTAGATCCGCTGTAACTCGATCAATTTTAATCCAAATTCCATAAAATTTTCACCAAATGTAGTTAGATAAATGTAGTATAAGATGTTCTTATCATATGTACGAAAGAATAAATACTTATTCAGATATTTGCCGAAGTCTAAAATCGCGGTACTTCCGCGCCGTGAAGTTTGTTAGACGCCGGTTTTACTCAAATCCTATAAAAATATCATTTTTACTCTTCTCAAAGGTTGTTCTAAAAAACGGTGTTCGCGTTTTGTAGTTGCTTTAGGGGTTCATGAGTTACGGCATATTCATTCCAGACCTATGCTATATTGCAACTAATTGACAACAAAAAGCTTGTAACTTGCTTATTATTTGAATAAAAGGCTCGCGCGCACACCGTTTTGTAGCCGAAATATGTACCTATGCTGTGTGGAAATTTGACAAAAATCGGTTAAAACGCACGCTTAACAAACTTTATTTAGTGCGTATATTCGACTCAAAATTCAAGTGCCTCAAAAAGCGCTTTGAAAATTTCGCGGGTTTTCTTTCAGTGTAATCAGGTACTGCGCCTGCTGTGACGTACTGTCATTAAAAGTTAATCCGATGACAGATAACGTTTGCGGCAAGACCACAATATATAATCAAGTCATGCCTGTGGTCATGCCTAAACGAAAAGGAAGACAAACCAACGCGCCACAAAAAAGCGCAGAATCTCAAAAGCGACAAAAATGCAGAACGATAGAGTTCAGCTGATGGCGATGTGGACCACAAAGAAAAACTATAATGGCAACGATGAAAGATAAAGTCTTAAAGGGTAAGGAAACTTAGTTTATCGCATTTTGATCCGACGATATTTTGCTAGTTGAGTTATAGAACTGAGCCATGCATTTGTTCTCTCTCTTCAGTTACGATGGAGCAAACTTTATCAAGAATATGGTGTTGAAAGATTGGCTAAAGAAGCGTAGTAAACCTCCTAGAATTGTACGGTATTTTTTTATTGTGGATTGGGCACACGCGCTGATCGTAAGTTTACAATCAGTTATATACATAATTGCACCTGGTTCGTTGGATTTTTGCACAATTTGCGTTTTTAGTACGCCGCGCATCGTAATGTTTTTGGAAATAAAAAGCTTTATTGTAAAATGTCATTAAATTTTCGTTCATTTATAGAAACAGGGAATCGGTCCCAAGGATGCGGCTTATGGATATCCTGTCGAAGTACTAAATTTCCTGAGCGATATCGCGGTGATGTAAAAGGAGAGAAAGAGAAGCGAGTTTGATATTCTGTACGCAAAGCCAAAGGTCACTATAAAAGCCGCGCAGGGAACGAAAGGGCTAATTCTAATAAAGCGTTTCCAGTTTTCCGGTTCGTCATGCACTTGTGGCTAAATTAGTAAATATGGCAAAAATGAAAAGTCGCCAAATCAATGTTTTTATTCTGCTTCTAAGATGCTTACAATATTGAGCTGGGCATCTTTTGTGAAGCTTTGAAGATCCCGAAGTTGTGTGTAGACTATTAATTATAGTGTTAGTCTAATATGACTATAATAATTAGGTTTAAAAATATATGTTTTAAAAGGCATTGTTATATTATGATAAACATACTCATGTAAATATACTTACATATTATATTCTATAATTATGCTAGTAAATATTAGGCAAACTGTTCTAAATTATGGCCTTTATGGGCATTGATTCATCTATACAGAATGGTTTTAGGGTCACTTTCTGCCAGTGATTTCTTTCTCTCCTCTGTGAACAAATTGTCGGTCTTGGGTTTGAGTTTCTTCCGACGGCCGCAAAAAGGGGTTTTGTTGCTTTTGCCAGAATCAGCTTTTATTCGCGGCATTTTTTCAGCAAAGATTTCAGTGCAAGAGAAATGTGCGTCTACAACCGCATGTTGTGATAACGGAATACGAGATGACATATACACTAATTGAATTGCACAAGGTGTCGATTTTCTGTCAAACACATTTCCCGCCAAACATATAGACTTCAATTGCGTTTTACTAAATAACCTGTTTAATTTTAAAGATACTGATTTACATTTTTTTCCAGACGACAGGTATGCTCAAAAGCAACAAGAACATGTAAAGAAAAAAAAATTCAAAATTTTTACGTTCTAGGGTATCCTGTAACCTTAAGCCCCTCGAGTTAAGCCCTTCGAGTTAAGCGCCGACCACACCCTTTCGACCACGCCCATGCCATACCCATTTCCGTTGAGGGCTTAACTCGAAGTGTATAACTGGAGTTAGGTACTTCGAGTTAAGCCCTCTAGAAAATAGGGGCTTAACTCGAGCAAAGTCAAACATTTTGTTCTTCGAGTTAAGCCCCAAAGTTTGAAAGATGTAAACGAGTTACGGTTAATCTGATCCCAAACAAATTAAATTATCATTTGGATCGCGTTTTGTTCAATCACGGTTCAATACGTTTTATTTCAGCCGACGTATTATATATATTAGGGACTTTCAAATCGTAATTTGAAGTCAACTGTGCATTTTGCGCATTCTTGTGCAACTTGTGCACTATGAATGAGCTACTTTTAGCTAATAAAGGAATAAAGATTGACCTTTCTGCCGTAAAGGTCAATCTTAAAATATTATCAAATTTTATACCAGTGTCCCAAAAAACACCAGACTCTGTTTGATTTCATGTAACGCAAAAGCTATAAAATCTATTGCAATGAAATAAAGATCATTGCATTCATAATAAACTAACTTAGATTTTGATTAGCAATTAATCACGAATGTGTCATTTTAAAAATGAGCTCAGGGCTGGTTTACAACACGTTTATGATAATTATGCTTACGCAGGTATTTTATTGAAGTTCAATTCATCAACTTAAAGTGCATATGACATGAAATTTCTTATTTTTTTAAATGAAAGAACTCTTTATTAAGTTGTAGTGGAATTTATTTTTCAGTTTCTTGTTTTTATGGTTTGTTCCCGAGATATTTCAATTTGTTTGATATGTAAATGAGTGTGAATATGTCCGCTAATTTATGACGTCATGTTGGTTGCAAGCTCTTCAAAATGCTTGGATATCACTGCTATTATCCAAGATGATAATTTCAAACTTCACTCACTGGTAAATGTGATGAAACACTGGAGAACAACGTGAACTGATATCAACAGTTTTTAGAGTTAATACATTTATAACCAGTGTAAGTTGAGCTTGCAACCAACGTGACGTCATAAATTAGCGGACATATTCACACTCATTTACATATCAAACAAATTGAACTATCTCGGGAACAAACCATAAAAACAAGAAACTGAAAAATAAGTTACACTACAACTTAAAGAGTTCTTTCATTTAAGAAAATAAGAAATTTCATGTCATATGCACTTTAAGTCCTAAAGAGTAAAAGGAGTTAATTTTCAATAGTTTTAGACCCAATTCTCGACGGTGGAAATATGCACTTTCGGTGGAAATATGCACTTTCACTGTTTCACATTATATGGTTCTTACAACTATTCAAGTCTTCATAAAATGGAACGATTTCATTAGACTGCACACATTTCAAAACGGAAAGCGATCGCAAAATGTCGATCGCCCCACAAGTTGCGAAATGCAAAATCAAAATGCGAAATGCAAATCTACCTTAATATACCGGGTGACCCCAAAAAAACTGGATACTGTTTGATTTCATGTAACGTAAAAGCTATAAAAGCGATAATGCATTCAGAAATGACTAACTTCGATTTTGATATATAGTACTTGAATTTACATGCAATATTGACTGCGCTATTGATGTTTGAACGTTGAACTACTGTTTTTGAAAATGCCAAAAATTAGCATAAAACAACACTTATAATTATAATTACTGATGTGATGTAGTTATAATTGTTAAATAATAAATATTTTTATTTTGATTGTATCTCGCACAATATTGCATGTAAATTTAAGTGTTTTATATTAATTTATTATTAATTTTAATTTGCCCTCCAAAAAGATGTATATATATATTAAGCTATTTACAATCTTATATTATTATAAGGGCTAGGAGCCTACTAGAAACCTTGACAGGCTTTTTATTAAGGCCCCTAGATTAGGATTAACTATTTATAGTTTTTGCAGTTCAAAACTTTCAAAACAAAACAATTAATAACTATATATAGTCTATAATCTTATATACAAAGTTGATTGTTCAATTGATTATACATAGTATATAGCAACGTAAATTACATGTATAACCACTACCTAGTACATGTTAACATGCATATATATAATATACACATATACACACACATATATACACGCATATGTATATACATATATATGGTTGCAATGTATGCGTATAGAAACTTCAAGAAGTTCAAAATACATGAAATTGTCGTTTAGTCTATTAAGTCTAAGATTAAGTACTGCAGTTTTGTAAGAGGTGCTTTTTAATTATTTTTTTAAAAGATTGAAGGGATCTAATATTTTTATATTCTTTTTCTAAACCATTCCAAATATCAACTCCCTTGTTTGAAAGAGTATGTTTTACATAATTGGTTCTTTTATAAGATTTATGAAGCTGTGATTTTTTCCTTGTATTGTATTGATGAACATCATTATTAACTGTGAAATAGTTGGTGAATGCTTCGGGTAAATTTTTTAAGTTAAAATATCGAAACATGAATAAACTGGTTAAAAAGTCATTTACTTGAAAAATGTTTAGTATTTCTAAATGTTTGAAAATAGTTTCAGTGTGTTCAGAGTATGACTTAAAAGTCATTATGCGCATAATTTTCTTTTGTATATTCATTATCTTTTGAATTCTAGTTTTATACGTATTACCCCAGATTAGGTTCCCATAAATCAGATATGGATAGATCAGTGCATAATAAACTAGCTTCAGAGTATTAAGATTAGTAAAATGACGTATTCTGGAAATGATACTTGATGCTTTTATAATTTTTTTAGAGATTAAATTAATATGTTCTTTCCAGGTTAAGCACTCGTCAATAACAACGCCTAGAAATGTAGTGTCTTTAACTTGCTTAATTATTTGTTCATTTATAGAAATAGTTACATTATGTTTTTGTTTTTTCTTCGATGATCTAAATAACATAAATTTAGTTTTCGCCGTGTTTATAGATAATTTATTTATATTCAGCCAATCCGATATTTTATTGATTTCTATTTGCATTATTTCATTAAGTGTTTTT